CTCATATCAGTCACGCTAGCTGCTTTGTTTACAACAAACCCACCACGGCGTCCCACCAGTAGAGGAACCTGCTAAAAATGCAAATTAAAGTAAGACAGACGTGCTGCTGCTGTGCCACAACCACCTTACCTCCAGCCTTCAAGCGTTTGCAAGGGCTCGTTCGCAAAAAAAAACCGACCCGGAGGGGTCTGACCTCAGGGAGATTGAGTAAGAGATTTACGGACATCATTTACCTCTTCAGAAGGCCACAGCTGTTACCGAGCCTCTGCAAAGCAATTATCCCAATAATTAGAGCTGCGGTCAGGTCTGCTGAAGCAACTATTCGTGGGCAAATGAACTTGGCATGCGGTGCAGGAGGAGAGACTACGAGACGAGCTTACAGCTTGTCTTGATGATTCATTCATGCTAGCATAATTATCATCTTCTATCTGCTGCCAATGCCAAAACCAAAGGGTTGCTGTTGGCATGGATGCTTGTAGTGGATCTTTTGCATATATGTGACCCTGGACCACAAAACCAGTCATAAGGGTCAATTTTTCGAAATTGAGATTTATACATCATCTGAAAGCTGAATAAACAAGCTTTCCATTGATGTATGTACTTGTCCAGAAAATATATTGCATTTCTAAAATGTATATTCTTGTAAATGTAGGTTCATCATTATCATCTATAGACTTATGAAGGCTATTCATTTGAAATGATTTCAAACACATTCAGAGATTCTCTGCAAGCTACACACACCATGTGCACATACTGCTCATTTTAGACAGCATTTAGACCAATTAATATTAACAGCATATTACCACTGAATACATCAGAGCAAGACATTTAGCCACCCACATTTTAATTTTCAGAGGCAAGAATGGATGATTAAAAAGAAATGAACTCGAAGCGAACATCCAATTGCATTTCAAGGCTAACGAAACAAAGATCTGACACCCTTAATGGGACACACATAATAGTGGTGTTTCAGACAGACCACCATCTGAAATGTCCCTCAGGTGTTGAAATTAGTTATCATGGACCAGAGAGCAAGACCTCGTTTCAACACTAATGAGAGGTCTGAGTCTGTGAATTACTGAAGAGAGAGAGGCATAGTGCCATCAATATGGGTTTAAAGTGACTGTAATGATGAGAGCTGGATTTTAGCATCCTGTGGGGGAGACTCCGATATAACAGACTAGGGCTGTCAAAAAAAATTTCGAATTTCGAATATTCGTCGAATTTAAAATAAAAATCCAAATTTTTTAGGTGTGCGTCAGGCAGCCTTATCAGTGGCACATAAGATGCGATGACCATGTAAGTGTCAATGCATTTTAATGCTTTTTTAGCCTATCCAGTTGAACCCACTAGATGCGGCGCTGCTACGTTGTTCATTCAAAATACCACAGAAAAAGAGAACAATCAATGCAGAGATGATGTTGTTTACGTCAAAACTGAAACCAAGCCGTTCACACAGAACGCATATTTATCGCATTTTCTAGAGGGACATCTATCACCGCTTCACTCGCGTCTCGCACAAGAGAGCCACATGTTTAGAAAGCTATGTAAAATTAATGTAAGTTCAACTTTTAAAAAACATGTCTCAAGACTTTATGGCGGTTTTCCCCATTCCACTGCCTCTGAAGTTTTTAAATGAGGAAAGTACTATTTGTGATTGGTTTTCGGTCTTTTGTATTAAACTCGTATACTTGTATAAACATACATGCATGATGCTGTTTTGTTTCTAATTGTTTAAGCAACTTTATTAATTATATATGGTTTATAAGCATTATTTTAAACATTTTTCAAAGATAGTCGTGTTATTTTATTATGCTTTGAAGAAATGTGCATAATATTTTGCTTGATGCACCCTCTTGTGGCCTCAGGAGAGAAGCCAAAAGCTTTTTTTCCCCCAACTGAAATTATGCCTTTTAAATTCGAATTTAATTCGAATATTGAAAATATTTAAGTAAAAAATTCGAATTTAGTTTTTCAGCCATTTTGACAGCCCTATAAGAGACATTTAAACAGAAGCTCAAGAGGTTGTGAAAGTCCAGTAGAGAAAACTGCTGCTCTAAGATATTCTTCAGCCTAAAAGAATTTGTGTCTAGCTGCAAATGAACCTTGGCCCTTGTGATTGCCAGATGAAAAGTGATGCATCATCAGAGTCAAGCAGTGAGGGAGGAGCAGCTTAAAACAGCACAAAACAAATGCTTAAGAAATATGGCTCATGTTTAATGTGCATACACATCTTAGGTCTACTGCATAGATAAAGACGGACTTTCTTGTTCCTGTGGAACACAAATGAGGAAGAAGCATGCTGCATTTTTAGTATCTAGGGACTGACACAAAAGAGAAGAAATTGTTGAATAAAGTCATTATTTTTGTTTTCTTTGTGCACAAAAAGTATTCTTGTAGCTTCATAAAATTACGGTTGAACCGCTGATGTCACATTGCTGTCTATGCAGGGTCAGAAAGCTCTCAGATTTCATCAAAAACATCTTAATTTGTGTTTCGAAGATGAATGAAGGTCTTACGGGTTTGGAACGACA